AAAAAAAAGAACATTCATGAAACTGCCCAGGCCATCAAGGGTATGCATATCCAAAAAGCTACCAAGTATCTGATGGATGTCACTTTACTGAAGCAGTGTGTGCCATTCTGCCATTACAATGGAGTTGGTAGATGTGCAAAGGCCACACAGTGGGGCTGGACACAGGGTTGGTGGCCCCAAAAAAGTGCTTTTATTTTTTGAGAGGTTTTTGCTATAGGGTGTGTGCACTCACCAGAAAGAGAGAGACAGAGAGACAGAAAGCAAGAAATCAACCCCCAGGGGCGATGGCCATGCCGCAATCCCTTCTCCTCCATTCTCCTCTCGGGGTCTTGGGCACACACGCACAAGCACCTGGCGTGAGATTAAGCCACCAGGTCCGGGACTTGAATTGCGGTTGACTACATGGGAGTCCAGCAACATAGCCATTACGCCAACTGCTGGTCCCAAGAGTGCTGAATTTTTGCTGCACAAGCTTACAAATGCAAACAGTAATGCTGAACATTAAGGGTTTAAAATGTAGATGCTCTGGTCATCGGACATACATCCCAGAACAAGGCATTCCAGAAGTGCCGTTCGTTGTGTGTGAAAAGCTCATGGTGGGATTAACACATACACAAGCTCCCCCTGCCTGTTGAGATGAGCCTTACAGAGAAGAAACAAACTGTTCCTAACCCAGAAGAGGAGGTTGTACAGAAAAGGATATCCCAGAAGGAACTGAAGAAACAAAAACTTACGGCAAGGAATGAACTCAGTGTAAAGGAAATGCAGATTCAAGTAAAAAAAAAATAATAATAATAAGTAAAATGATGCACGTGGGACCTGTAGGTGACATGGTGGTTAAGGCACTGGACTTCTACATGGCCAATTGCAGTTTGAGCCCTGGACCTGGAGGCTTCCTTTCTTATTTTCTCTCTCTTTTCTTTTTCTGCAGAGTGCATATGCCCTGTAGCAAATTCAAAATAATAATAATAATAATAATAATAAATAAAACTAAATAAATCTAAAAAAAAAGTGACACTCCCTACATCGTAAGTGGTGGAACAAGAATTCAAAACTTGGTTCTTTCTCCTTCAAATTCAAGGTCTATGCCTCTTGGAATCTTTCAATGATCTGAAGGATGCCCACTTCCTATTAAGTTGTCAATAAAGTCATGATACATTTTTCAATGCAAAAAAGACTCAACAGAACACAACACAAACTAACACTCATATGTCGTGTGTGTGTGTGTGTGTGTGTGTGTGTGTTTGTTTGAGAGTTAAATTAGACAAATCAACATACCACACAAGGATGGTCAAAGCTGACCAAACAATGTTTTACAAATAGAGGATTTAAAAAACACTGCAATGATTCAATACAGGACTCACCCCACTGCTCCATATTTGAACGTACCTCTGTAACACCCTGAGTAGCTTCCTACTCTTGATGGGGTATTTCTTCTGCAGGTTGAAAAATGCCACATGAATGCCCTTATCTATTAGGCTACTAAATGCAGTGTGATTTTCAGGCAGTTGTAACAGAGAACGCCAAATGAACATTCTGAAATTAAAATATAATTTTAACTAAAAAAAAAAGTTTACGTCAAATCCATGTAATATACAAGAATTGAAATTTTACCTGTATTTTGTTGGATATTCACCATAGCCCTTTAGTAAGATTTGTAAGCGCTTTTTGTTTAATCCATCTGACAACTCATTCTGTAAAGAGAAAGACAGTAATTAATAAGGGACATGATTGTAAAACTGAAAAGGTGACAAATGGTAATCTAGTCCACAATGGCTTTCCAATCGAAGAACACAACACATAGTAAGAAACAGTCTTTTTATTTATTTTATTTTAAGGTTTTTGCTATAGGATGCTTACACTCACCAGAGAGAGAGGGAGAGAGACATAGAGAGAGAAAGTGAGAAATCATCCCCGGGGGTGGGGGGGTGGGGGGGATGCCTACACTGCAATCCCTTCTTCTCTGTTATCCTCAAGGGATTTTGGGCACGCATGCACATGAGCCTGGCATAAGTTTCAAGCTGATGGGTCCAGGAGTCGAACTGCAGTCAGCCATGTGAGAGCCCAGCGTCTTAACCACCAAGCCATCTGCCACTCCCAAGAAATTTTTTTTTTTTTTTAAAGAGATGTTTGCTATAGGGCCATGCCCTCACCAGAGAGACATAGAAACAGAAAGCGAGACATCACCTCCCATGGCCACGCACAATCCCTTCTCCTCCAATCTCCTCTAGGGATTTTGGACACTCATGCACATGTGCCCTGCATAAGTTTTAAGATGCTGGGTCATAGACTCGAACCGTGGTTGGTCATGTGTGGGTCCAGTGACATAACCACTACGCCATCTGCTGCTCCCCAATAAACATTTTTTACATCTCACGACTCTGTCCTCTCTCTGTATACATGCCATCTATATATGTGCATATGTAACAGATCAAATTCATGACATTAACTTCCTGAGACCACAGTTTGGGAAACATTTTGTGTAAATAGCCAATAATAAACATTTTAAGTTTTGTGGGCCAAGAGGGAATTGGGGATTTTATTTATTACACATATTTAAAACTTAACTATTTATAAATATAAAAGCCATTCTAAGTTTGAGTAGCCCAGACGAGACTCCTCCACTAAAAATGATGAATTCTGATAGTCTACCCTAGCCTCCTTTCTCTGCTCCCTTTTCTCAAAATTCTGGACAACTTTTAGCATAAAAGCATGAAGGAGAAGCCTGACAGCAAAACTTACCTAGTTCACAGTTTCATCCTATACAACAAACACACTGGCTTCTGCTGATTATCCCTTACATCTAAAACTTTCGTGCAAATTTTACTTATTTATTTATTTATTTAAATAAAGAGAGATTTTCGCTGTGGGGCATGTGCGCTCGCTGGACAGTGAGACAGAAAGTGAGAAATCACTCCCTCAGGGGGGATGGCCATGCCACAATCCCTTCTCCTCCATTCTCCTCTCGAGATCTTGGGCACACATGCAGATGTGCCTGGCGTGTGTTTTAAGTTGCAGACTACCCATGCCTCAAGTACTCTCACATATGGCTGAAAGCTAGCATGTTTGACCTAAGAAAAACCATTAAAATGTATTACATTTACATGAAAAAGTTTAGGAACCAGCATGTGGTATGGTGGTTAAGGCACTGGATTCACACATGGCCAATCATGGTTCGAGTCCCAGACTCAGCAGCATGAAAATCACACTAGATGCTTGTGTATGTGTGTCCAAAATCCAGAGAGGAGGAACCAGTAGATGGCATAATGGCTGCATCACTGGACTCCACGTGGTCTACTGTGGTTCAAGTCCCAACCCAGCAACTTAAAACTCATACCAGGTGCATGTGAGTGCGTGCCCAAAATCCCAAGAGGAGAATGGAGGAGAAGGACTGTAGTGAGGCCATCCCTGTGGGAAGGGGGGTAATTTCTTACTTTCTGTCTCTCTCTGTCTCTCTGGTGAGTGCATGTGCCCTATAGCAAAAACCTCTTTAAAAACAAAACAAAATAAAACAAAATCCAAAAACGGTGGAGGAGAAGGGAATGTAGCATGGTCATCCCCCTGGGGAGAGATTTCTCACTTTTCCTCTCTCTGTCTCTCTTCAGTAGCATGCACTCTATGGCAAGAATAAAAAGTTTAAAAAACGTATTGTGAATTTCAACTATGATTATCTGCTCTTCAGATAATCCTTCCTTTAATGCCCAAGAGGATGAAAAGTGATGATGGCCTAGAAATCACAAGTCTTGTCTACAACCGAAGCACGACCACTGAAAGTTGAATAATATATTCTTACCTCCTTATTTTCAAAATGGCCAGTCATGTCTTGTTTTAATATTCTGGTTTGTATTTTGCTTTCCCTGAAGAGTGCTGGTCTCTGTGCTCTTCCTGATACGACTTTCATCTTAATATCACTCAGTTTATTCTTGGGCAAATCTTCAATTACTTTCACTAAAGGAGGAGGAGGCTAAAAAAACCCCAAACAATTATACATATACATTATTATATACATATACACATACACGCACGCACATGCACTCACACACAGGTAAAGATATTCCAGTGGGTATTATTGTTAAATAGGCCTGTTAATATAATGTCCAAAATGTGCTTTGATTAACTTAATAACATGCCTTAATATGTATAATTATCCTTCAAGTAACAACTGTAAGTAAAATGCCTAAGAACATTCTTTTTGGATAATAAATTAAAGCAGATTGGGCCCAGCAGGTGGTGTGGTTAAGGCGCTGGACTCCCGTGTGGCCAACCATGGTTCGAGTCTCAGACCTGGTGGCTTGCTTTCTTTCTCTCTCTGATCAAATTAAAAGTGATAATAATGATAATAATAATAAATTTCAAAATTCTTTAAAAAGATAAAGCAGATTTCTATCAATTCCTCTGAAGAACATAAAGAGGTACTCAATTAACAATAGTAATAAACAGAATTTAACTTGGATTGAAAGCTGGCCTTAAATCAATACCAATGGTTTGGTAAGACTAAACCATTTTTACGCTCGCATGATGGAGTTATAATATGGTGATAATCTGCAGCACAGGAGGCGCGGTTAGACATATGGCCCTCTGGGATGCTGAGGGAGGCACCTCAACGCTCTTCGGGCTCCAGTGAGACTCCTCTCAGGAAGAAGGAACTGCCCGGGACTTTCCTCTGGCAGCGTGCCAGCCCTGCTTCTCTATCCCCAGTCACAAGTTTTAATCTGCACAGCTATGGCTAGTTAGTTCCTTGCAGCATCAACAGCTCACAAAACAGTTCAGACGGCATGATTTAGAATCCAAACTCTCATTTTTATGAGGCCTAGCAAATGGGAAAAAGATCCAACAACTTCAATTTACTTATGGTAAGATGGCTCACGAGAACATGTCTTGTTAAATATACTCTCTTAAAACCCAGAGATCTTCTTATTCAAAGGCAATGTCCAGAGAAGTAACTCAGGCTGAGTTGTAAATACAATGAAAGCACCATGACGATTCATATTCTGATTCAGTTCTTCATCTATGGGATAGAAGTAACAGTGGTCTGACTTGTTAGCTGGGGGAGTTTTAGAGAGCTGAGAAGTGGAGCAGGGAGTACACTGTATCTGAAATAAAGAGTGTGGCTATGGGCCAGCGAGGTGGCTGGGGCGCTGGACATGGCCAACTGCAGTTGGGTCCCAGATCTGGTGGCTTACTTTCTCACTTTCCCTCTCTCTTTCTCTGTCTCTCTTAGGTGAGCACATGTTCCCTCTAACAAACTTAAAAAATGTATACATAAAATAAACAATGAAAAGAAACAGCTTTAAAAACAAAGAGAGTGTGGGTAACAAATGCAGAAGTAAGAATAGTAACTTATGGGGGATCATGCGGAAACGTCCCAAGTACAGGGAGGTAGGATGGGCAGTTAAGATTAGAGAGGACACCAAGAGCCAGGAAGAAGAGTCTGGACCTAATTCAATAGATAAAAGGAAAGATGTCACTAAGGTATCATTTTAAAAAATTATTATTTACTTAGTGTTATTTATCATCACTGTTATCTTTTAACTTGCTACAGGGCACATGCACTCACCAGAAATAGAGAGAAAGAAAGTGAGAAAGCAACCCACGAGACCCAAGACTTGAACTGTAATCAGCCATGTGGGAGTCCAGTGCCTCAACCACCATGCCACCTGCTGGCCCCAAGGTAACTTTATTTTATTTTATTTATTTATTGAGAGAGTTTTGCTATTTGGCACATGTGCTCGCCAGAGACGAAAAGTGAGAAATCATCCCCCAGAGGGGATGGCCATGCTGTAGTCCCTTCTCCTCCATTCTCCTCTTGGGATTCTGAGCATGCATGCACATGCACCTGGTTTGAGTTTCAAGCCAGCAGGTCTGGGACTCAAAACATGGTCATCTATGAGGGAGTCAAGTGCCTTAACCACTACACCACCTGCGGGCCCCAGGAGCATTGTTTTTCAAATGACCATGAAAGCATTATTTTAGAAGAATGTTATATGGGAGAAGGATTGATAGATAGGAACAGGTGCAAAAGGCACTAGAGTTGGGCATATTTATTTAAATTATCTTTATTCAGAAGTAGCTAATGAGGCCAATACAAGAATTGCTACTGGAGAACAGGCAGCACATACGAAGATGTCTGAAATGAAAGAAATGATCTGACTTAGTATTAACTACAGTAAGGAAATACGGAAGTGGGAAAAGCCACAGAACTAAGGCTTCTAGCCTATGAGATGGGAGGAAGGAGGGAGATGAATGAAGAAACTAGAACTGCAGACCTCTTTTGGGAAGGTCATGAGTGACATCTTAAATCAGACAGGGAGAGCAGAGATGTCCTTTAGGAAGGAAACAATTTTTTTTTTTTTGGAGAGGTTTTTGTTATATGGCGTGTGCGCTTGCCAGGAAGACAGAGAGAGACAGAAAGTGAGAAATTACCCCCCATGCCATGCCCCCTTCTCCTCCATTCTCCTCTCGGGATCTCAGGCACGCATGCACACACACCCGGCATGAGTTTAAGCCACCAGGTCCGGGACTCGAACTGCGGTTGACTACACGGGAGTCCAGCGACACAGCCATTACGCCAACTGCTGGTCTCTGGAGGGAAGCAATTTTAAAATGGAGTGTAGACAAGAAATCAAGGCTGGAGATATGCCTTTAGGAAAGAGCAATGAGCAGGTTCCAAGGAAATTAGAAAACGACAGTGGAAAGTTTCACCTCTTGTTTATTTATTTTTTTTTCCTCTTCTATTTATTTACTTATTTATTTATTTTTATTATCATCATAATCTTCTTTATATTACATTGGATTACATATAACTTTACAGTGTGTTATACTGCTTTTTCAAAGGGACCTCTTTATTGTTAACAGGCACATGCACTCGCCAGAGTTGGCGGGGACAGAGAGAGGGCAGCCCCAAGGGTACAGGTCACACTACAATCCTTTCTTATCCACTTGTCCATCCCATCGGGATCTGGGGCCGTACAAATATGCACCTAGTATGTTTTGCTTATATGTTGCCATAGGTTCATATGCTCGCCAAAGAGAGAGAGAGACAGAGAGAGAGAGAGGGAAAATGAGAAATCACCTCCTGGGGGGGATGGTCACACTATAATCCCTTCTCCTCCATTCTCCTCCAGAGATTTAGGGCATGCACACACACATGCCCAGAGAGAATTTCAAGTCTTTGGGTCCAGGACTTGAGCCGTAGTAGGCCATGTGGGAGTCCAGTACCTTAACCACCACGCCACCTTTTGGCCCCCACACCCAGTATGTTTTTAATACTGCTGAGGCACGCCTGCACACAACCCCGGCATGAGTTTAAGCCACCAGGTCCGGGACTCGAACTGCGGTTGACTACACGGGAGTCCAGCGACACAGCCATTACGCCAACTGCTGGTCTCTGGAGGGAAGCAATTTTAAAATGGAGTGTAGACAAGAAATCAAGGCTGGAGATATGCCTTTAGGAAAGAGCAATGAGCAGGTTCCAAGGAAATTAGAAAACGACAGTGGAAAGTTTCACCTCTTGTTTATTTATTTTTTTTTCCTCTTCTATTTATTTACTTATTTATTTATTTTTATTATCATCATAATCTTCTTTATATTACATTGGATTACATATAACTTTACAGTGTGTTATACTGCTTTTTCAAAGGGACCTCTTTATTGTTAACAGGCACATGCACTCGCCAGAGTTGGCGGGGACAGAGAGAGGGCAGCCCCAAGGGTACAGGTCACACTACAATCCTTTCTTATCCACTTGTCCATCCCATCGGGATCTGGGGCCGTACAAATATGCACCTAGTATGTTTTGCTTATATGTTGCCATAGGTTCATATGCTCGCCAAAGAGAGAGAGAGACAGAGAGAGAGAGAGGGAAAATGAGAAATCACCTCCTGGGGGGGGTGGTCACACTATAATCCCTTCTCCTCCATTCTCCTCCAGAGATTTAGGGCATGCACACACACATGCCCAGAGAGAATTTCAAGTCTTTGGGTCCAGGACTTGAGCCGTAGTAGGCCATGTGGGAGTCCAGTACCTTAACCACCACGCCACCTTTTGGCCCCCACACCCAGTATGTTTTTAATACTGCTGAGGCAGGAATCCAACTGTGGTTGGCCATAGGGGATATAGTCTTCTATTCTTAACACTCAACTGCTACGCTATTAAGTGAGCCCAAAGTCTTTATTCTTTTTTTCTTTTAATTTTTTATCAAAGTTTTTATTTTTGATGATACAATATTTACGTGTTTTAAAAAACTGATGTTGTTTACATAATCACATACCTTATTTATCTCTTGTGTTAATGCCTGAACTGAATATATGTTCAGACTTCCATTTTCCATAACTGACGCTATGTACCGTCCGTGTGGGCTAATGACTGCAGAGCTAATTCCTTCATCCAGGCTCCCAATCTCAAACACAAGTGTACAAGTCTGAATATTGACAAATCTCATAATGCCATCTTGACTTAGCACTCCAAGAACCTAAGGGCAGAGAAAGAAACATGAGCTGTTGTTTTTTTTTTTTTTTGGAGAAGTTTTCGCTATAGGGCGCGTGTGCTCGCCAGACAGAGACAGACATAGAGACAGCGAGAAATCACCCTCCCCAGAGGGGATGGTCACGCCACAATCCCTTCTCCATTCTCCTCTCAGGATCTTGGGCCCGCACACACACGCGCCCGGCATGAGTTTTAAGCCACCGGGTCCGGGACGCAAACCGCAGTCGACTACGTGGGAGTCCAGCGACATAGCCATTACGCTAACTGCTGGTTCCCAAAATGTGAGTTCTTAAAACTGTGCGAAAGTCAAACTATACACATGATTACATATATATGCTTGTGTGTATTTTTTTAATGTGTTATATATTGTACATTCATTATATGTGTTATATATACAGATGTAGCATATCTGACTAGCCCCCACATATGATATATACGATATTCATATGGGGTGGTCAGAGGAGATTCTATCTCACTTTAAAATCACTAATTAATGGGTTATGTAGATTTGCCTTATTCAGGCCTAAATAAGCCTCGCTCTAACCAGAACCAGTAAGGAAAGCATCTTGGAACCAGCAGATGGCATAATGGCTACGTCGCTGGACTCCCATGTAGTCGACCACGGTTACAGTCCTAGACCCAGTGGCTTAAACTCACTCCAGGTGTGTGTGTGTGCATGCCCAAGATCCTGAGAGGAGAATGGAGAAGGGATTACGGCATGGCCATCCCCCTGGGGGGTGATTTATCACTTTCTGTCTCTCTGTCTCTCTCCTTCTAGGGAGCACATGCGCCCTATAGCAAAAACCTCTCCAGAAAAAAGAGGAAGGCACCCCAGAGGACAATGGAAATGTGATTTAAAAATCTCCCCCTCCCAGTGGCAGGCCACATCCACTGACTAAACCCACAGGGGAGAGATAACCGGACAGCGCTCTGATGTGAATGCATCCCCTCCAAAGCTGGTGTTGGAAACTTAACCCCTAGAGCAATAGTGCTGAGAGGTGGGCCTAATCGGGTGCTTAGGCCCTGAGGGCCCTTCCCTCGCAGACAGCGGAGTAACGCGCGATCATGGCAGTGGGTTCAATATGACATACCAGTTGAGTCTCCACCTCCCTTTCTCCCTCTTTCTCATAGCCATGTGGTGTGTATGTATGTGTGTGTGTGTGTGTGTGTGTGTGTGTGTGTGTGTGTGTGTATATATATATATATAAATAAGTTAAATTAATAAGATTAAAGTTTAGCTGTTTGGCTTGATTTAAATAGAAAAAAGTGATGGAGGAAAAGGAAAAAGCACTTTGTAAACTAAGAAAAGATAAAACACATTTCAGAGGAATGAGACAACAGTACAACATGGTATATTAAAATAAGATGAGAACATTTTAGTTCTAGTCCCATCTTATTTATTTATTTATTTTAGAGAGATTTTTTGTTATAGGGCGCGTGTGCTCATCGGAGACACAGACAGACAGGAAGCAAGGAATCACCCCCAGGGGGATGGCCACATCGCAGCCCCTTCTCCATTCTCCTCTCAGGATGTTGGGTATGCATGCACACATGCCCAGCATGAGTTTTAAGCGGTGGTCTGGGACTTGAACTGCGGTCAACTATGTGGGAGCCTGGCAACGTAATCATTATGCCATTTGCTGGTCCCACCATCTTTGTTATAGGTAACAGGCAAGCTGATAGGTCACTTAATGATTCTGTGTATTAGTAGAATAATACGTAAAGTGGGTGAACATGTTTCCTGCCTATGCTTAAGGCAGCAAGAATCAAATGAAAAATAACATGCTAAAACACCCTGCAAACCATAAAGTCCAACATCAACTGAAAGCATACTTCTTTTATAAAAAAGGGTAAATTGTTATTAAGATAAAGAACATACAAAAATGATGGGCCCAGCAGTTGGCATAATGGCTATGTTGCTGAACTCCCATGTAGCCAACTCCAGTTTGAGTCTCGGATCCAGGGCTTAAACTCAGGCCAGGAATGTGTGCGTGCGTGTCCAGGATCTCAAGAGGAGAATGGAGGAGAAGGGATTGTGGCGTGGCTATCCCCCCAGGGGATGATTTCTCACTTTCTGTCTCTCTTTCTGGTGAGAGCGCATGCCCTATAGCAAAAACCTCTCCCAACAAAAACAAAAACAACAAAACAAAACCAAAAAGAACATACGAAAATGAAATTTTTCAGTTCAAGACTCTTCACAAAAATAATGTATTTGCAATTTTAAATCCTTTCAACAGGCAAGGTGTAAGTTAAATAAGAGCTAATACAGTTCAGAAACTGATCAGATTTTTCTCAGAAGGTACAACGTCCTACTTCACGTTACTAACCTGATTGGAACCAGCATCAAAGCTATCAGGAAGGAATTCGAGATGGCGAATGGCTCGAACTTTAGTTGGCATCTGTAGAATCCTAAAGAGCTGGGTAGCTTCCAAGCACCACAAGTGAAGATGATTTGATTTGCCTCCGGCAGCCAGGATCCGGCCATCTCTACACAACAAAAAGGTTGAAAGTCAAACTGCCCACTAGAACTTCCAGTAATGACAAACGTCCTAGAGCTGTCCAATATGGTCACCACTGCCCAGTGGGACTGTCTGAGCACTTCACATGTGGCTAGTGTTGGGCCAGCAGGTGGTGTGGTGAATACGGTGCTGCATTCCACATGGTGCTAGATTCCAACCAGTGGCTTGGAAACACACAAGGCACATGTGTGTGCATGCCCAAAATTCCAAGAGGGGAATGGAGAAGAGATTGTGGTGTGGCCAAGCCCCTGCGGGGTGACTTTTCACTTTCCCTTTCTATCTCTCTGGGGAGCACATGCACCCTATAGCAAAGAAAAAGAAAAAGAAGAAAAGAAGAAAAACATGGCTAGTACTACCCAAGAAACTAGTTTTAAATTCCATCAATTGAAGTAGTCACAAAGACAGCTCAGGTTTATAGTATATGTATTTTTTAACATAATGGGCTTAGGCACCAACTTAAACAGTTGGTTGATGACTTCCCTGGGGTTTCTGAGTAGTATCTGTATTTCATGGCATGATCTCAAAGTCACTTACCACTCTCCACCTGTTTATCTTTCACACACCTCTATACTGAATGGGTCAAGCATGCTACATGAAGAAACAAAAATGGTCTTTTTTCCAATTCAAGGAAAGCTACTTTATGTTTATAAGGTACAAAAAGAGTAAGCTTTATTGACTCGCAAGGTCGCTGATTGTTCATTCGACGCAAGCTTAAAAAGTGTCTACTCTAAGCCAGGCGTCATTTGGAAGTCAGGACAATATTGAGAACAAGTTGGTTAAGGCTGAGTAAGTCAGACAGTCCTGCTCCTGAGGGATTTTCATTCTAGAAGAAGGCAAACAAACAAGCTTGATCCCAGCTGGCGACAAGGTCTACACCAAACTGTTCGTACCTTTCCAGAGGTGCTGAAAGCAGGACTGGAGGATGATCTGCTGCCAGTCAAGAGAAGATTCGAGAAGAATTCTGCACTGGTCAGTATTCTAGACTGGCCAGAACAAAAGGGCTGAGAAAGGAATAAGGTTAGTATAGAGGAAAAGTAGGAAGTCATACTGAAGTGTGGCTGCAGACAGTGCAGGGGAAAAAAAGAGAGGGGAGGCCAAGGCCCGAGAGAAGGCCTCAGGGGACATGGTGGCAAGCCTGGATTCTACTCTAAGTGCCAGAAAGCTCTTAGAAGGGTTTCACAGGGAAGTTCCATGAGCTGACAATGATTGACAAAGGCTTCCATGAGTTGTGCAGAGACTAACTTTAGGAAATGAATGGAATACAGAGATCAAATAAGGAGGCAGGTATGGTATTCTGAAAAAACCTGGGGTGGCCTGGGCTACAGTAATCCCAGTGGTGATGGACAAAAAGCTGATCAACCTTTCTTTTCTTAAGATTTTAAAATTTTATTTTGTTATTATTATTTATCTTTTAATTTGACCACAGAGAGAGAAAGTGAGAAGGCAAGCAAGCAGATCCAGGACTAGAACCGTTGTCAGCCATGTGGAAGTCCAGTGCCTTAACCACCATGCCATCTGTGACCCCAGAAACTGATCAATTTAACACATAGCTTGGTAGAGGTGATGGAATCTCCTGGTGACTTAATAGAAGAGCATGAGAGAAGAGATGAATGAACACCTACTTTCCACATCTTTCCAAAGGAAAGGCCTAAAAACAATGACCAGCCCAGTCACACCAAGAACTCCTGGCATCCACGTTAGGGTTTCGAATACCATTTCAACTAAAATTAACCCACACTCTTT